CTTTCCCTATCCTCCCCACAACCAAAGATATGGAATGTAGGCTCAATGGAAATTGAGGGCTGTCAACATACCTCACTAGGAATATTCAGCTTTTGGTAAGTGTGAGTTTAAAAATGGGTTTCAGTATAATAGAAAAAGAAAATATGTTTTGGACAGGAAGCTCTGGTAAGATTTATTTTCCCTTTCTGTAATATTAGAGGTTTATCTATCTGAAAGCCTGTGTAACCCCATTCAATCTTAATAGTTTTTGTCTCTCTCTCTCTCTCTAAAGGACGAACAAATCATTGGTCTGCAATCATTGGGAGTTCACATTCAAAGAACTATATCCTTTGGGAATATGGAGGGTATGCTAGTGAAGGTGTTAAGCAAGTTGCAGAATTGGGATCCCCAGTAAAAATGGAAGAAGAAATTCGACAGCAGGTAAATGTAATGATATAAAATGTCAATATATAGCTTTAAAAATATACCGTACCTTGGACTTGCCCCTTGTGACTTGCAGCAATGTTGTTGTATCGGCTATTTTTTTTATCTGGACAAAATAGGAGGGGGATCTCCTTTTATGCAAGTCAGTTCATACTCAGTTAGGCCATGTGAAGTCAATGGGAGTTTTGCCTATGCGAGGACAAATTGCATTGTTTAAAAGCTATGCAAGCTTTTGTTTTGTTTGTGTCAGTGGAGTAGAAATAAGGAAAAAAAATTCAATCAGCCTCCTCTGGGTTGGGCATGAAGACATTTGTGATCTTTTAAAAGAAGCATCGTGAAGATTGCTCTTTTAGTTAGGCAATCGATATGCTATTTTATCTGGTGATTTTCACTTTGTGCTGTAGTACAATATTTATAATGGATTCCGGTGAGCAAAGTGGACATATTATTTGTAATCTCTATATGGCTGTCCAGGTTAGAAATGGTGTTTGAGCAAATAGGGAAGGACCCTATTGTAAATAGATAAGTTATACAAGCTTTTGAATACAAGGCATTCTTTAACAGGTTTGAGGAAAGAAACAGGCATAATGATGATGAATGAAAACAGTGGGCAGAACTGTGAAATTGGAGAGGGGAGAAATTTCCAGGGGTAGCAGACAAATAATTAGGAGAAGAAAAAGAGCTTGCTTAATGGGACATCAAGACCTATCCAAAGGGTGGGGGGCCATTTTCCCCTATAGCGTGAAGGAAGGATTTCAGGAATCAGGCATATTATAGTGTCATAAAATCAATATTGATGTTCAGTCCTTGGTTTTTCGTGTCTAGCCAGCTTATGAATTTTTGTTTCCAAACTCACCTTTTTAAAGGTGTATAGATTTCCCATGAGCCCCTGAGAACAGTGAAGTCAGAAGGGGAGTAGTTCTGTGAAAAATGTGCTCCTGCTGACATGTGTCTGTCTCCTTCCTTCATATTTTTTCTGAGAGTTTTCTGTGAGGGCATTTGGTGTTTTGGATCAGTAAATAACATTTAGAGAGAACCATATATACCATCCATGAATTCTGATGGGTGTATTTTGGGGCATGTTGATAATAGTAACAGTGAAGATATATTGACAGGTTAAGTATTGTTAAGGCAAAGTTAGGTGTGCCTACACATGATACTACATTGCCGTAGCAATGTGCTATGGCAACGTAGCATCCACAGGCAAAACCCGTGACACCGCAGCTATGTTGCTGTAGTGACATGCTTCTCCATTACAGCATGTTGCTAAAGCGATGTAGTGCCTAAAAATAACCATGCATGATGCAGTACCAGCTGTTACTAAGACACCAAATGGAAGTACTAAATGACAGTGCAGTAAAAATAGCTCCATAGCGGCATGTGTAATTGTGCCCACTGTGTCCCATTTGATGTTTGTTGAGCAATGGGGAGTTTTTGTCTGATGATGAGTTGGGCTAGATTAGGGGGTTGTTCGAAAGCCAGGATCAGAGGAGCTGGGAATGGTTCTCTTGAAGTCTGATCTTTGTTGAGTGTAGGTTGTAAATATTTGATGATTCTTCTGATTGTTTCCAGTACGGAGTGGTAGGTGACCACAGGGGTGCCAGAAATTGCCAAGGGCAGCTGTGTTGGGGTTATCCCTGATTGGGTGTCAGACACATGCCCTCAAGCCCTTGCTGTAAGCCATGGGGTGGGGGGGAAGGGGAGGCAGGCCCCCTAGCACCCACCAAAAAGTGAACACGTGTTCTGTTTCTTCCCAGTCCAATATACATAGCTTAGAGCAACTCACAAAAGTTTGATCAATTCTACCTCGGGCTTTTTGAATGCCTGCTTAGATTCACTTGCTTCCAACTAAAATTTAGAGTAACTTTTTTTTTTAAGTAGTTTAAATAATATTTTCACTTGTTTCATAGGTTGCAGCTGTATTATTTGTATGAGTTTTAAGAGCACAGCATGATTTTAATGAGAAACCTGAATTATTGCAAGCTTGTATTAACAAGGGAACATTCCCTAGTGTCTTATCAGTCTAGATTGGATCATAAATCTGCATTTATTTTTACAATGATGTATGATTCAAGTTTTACATTTGCCAAACCTACTGAGAATCAAACCTTTTAAAACAGCTAGAAAATTTGCAGCAGGTTAGACTTTTCTATTATGCAGTGCCCATTACTATAATTAAGTCCTAAGTTTTTTTTTCAAAATCTAAAGTTGTAAACATCTTGTGAATGGAAAAAAAATGTTACATTTATTAAAATGATTCTGAGCGTGCTTAAATGAATCAATCATTTTCATTGCTTAGATACATTTTGCTACAGTTATTGAACATTTGAGGTGATTTGTGTCATAAATATGCATTTCCTTTTAGAGGACTTACATTTACAGTCATTAGTTAAATTCTGTGCTGCCTTGTCCTTGTATTATGGGAAAGTTCTTGTACAGGTGACCATCAGGCTTTCTCCTGCTAATCATTATATATATTACAATCATACTTCTTATACTTTCCTGTTTTACAAAAGATATTATCCCAGACCTTAATATTCAGCATGTTAGAAATCCTTCGATGCCTCTGATAATTCTTTTATTTGCTTTTTTTCCTTTTTTTCAATTACTTTTTTTTCAAAATGAGAGGATCAAAACATATTTAAGATAAAAATGTATCACCAATTATTGTAATGGTACAATCAGATTTTCTATGCATTATATTCCTCATCTAGAACAGTCTACAATTTTGCTAATTTTCGGTCTCACTGAACATTGAACATATATTTCTTTGAGCTATGTAAATTGATAACTAGATTTTTTTCTAGTCATTAGAACTGAGTGAAAGCTCACCCTCTTCACACAGTTTAAATTGCTACAAGCTATACCCATTAAATGTAATCTCTTATTATGTTGATATTTTGGTATTTTTCTCCTTTAAAACAATTAACTATATAACACAAATGTCCTAAAATTTGAGAATGCATAATAATAATACAGAATTTAGTATATTCATGGGATATGGCTGTGAACGACCCTCATTCTTCCCTGTTGCAAACTGAATAAAATGAAAGAACAAAAAAAGGTAATAGAAAAATAAGAGCTATTTCTTTTAGTTTTTGGTGAACATAGTATCACTCTGTTTCCCCTAATTTGAACACTGCAGGAATTGAAGCAGAAAGTAAATCTGGATCTTACATAAATTACCTTTTCACCATGAGTACTTTCCAAGAAGGCTGTAGAATCCTAATGAAATGAGGCTATAGTGGCACCATATATGTACCATGTGTACATTTGGGGAGCCATAAACTAGCCATTTACAGAAGAAATGGCTTAAACTTACCTCTTAATAGGCCCCCAACAAACCAGAATGAGAACAACTTTAATTTGTGTTTTTATTGCTGGATGAGATCAGTCCTTCATACAAAGCCTCACACCATTCTATAAAAACAGTAACAAAATGGATTGAGGGCAGAGTGAATAAAAATTATGGTTTGATCCAGGTGACAGTTAATGGATCAAATTTGTAGGTATAGGCTAGTGTTCACAGTTTCCTGAAACAAAACGTTGTGGCAGAATATGGCCACAAAGTATGCCAGTTTCTCTAAAACAAGTTGTTGTTAGCACTGTGCTTTGCCTCTGTTAAATCTCACTACCATCCATGTATGAGAGAGAGAAGGCTTGGAGTTTGAAATCTAGTGTGCACAGAAGACAAAAAAAGAGGCAGAAGTAAGGGCAGAGGAATGGGATGGGTCAAGGAGGAAATGGGAACAGAGATGTAATAGTGTAAAAGTCCTATAACTATTAATGACAAGTGCATGCATAGGCATTCGCTAGATAGGAGAGTAGACCAAAGTTACTATGATTTGAGGACAGGTAAATTGCTATAGCTACCCAAGTCCAGGATGCCCCTGAATTTAAGATGACCCCCCCAATAATTAGGTTCTATTCATGGAAAAATTATAAATTTGTTATAATTTTCCATGTATAGAATCTAATTATTGAAGAATCATCTTACATTTATCCCCACCACCACTGTAGAGGGGAAAGCAGTGGTAGGAGGCAGGCAGTGGGGGTGGGTGCAGGCAGTGCGGAGGTGGCAGGGGACAGGCAGTGGGGTGGGGCAGGCAGCATGCCTCCCCCCTCCCGCATACCTACCCTCCCACAGCCTTGGGCCCCCATCCTCCAACTCTCCCCCAACCTGCCTCTCCTTCTCTCCTCCCCCTCTCCCCCATCATTTACCTTTGAAAGTGGTATGGATCCAACACTGCTTCTATAGGGCTGTGCTGGGGCTGTACTTAGTGTCCCAGGCTGGATGAAGGAAAAAGCCTTTTGGCACTGGAGCAAGGGCAAGTTGGGGGAGGGGGAGCAGGGAGAGTTGTGGGGGTAGAGACAGGCAAGGTGAGTGGGGGCCCAAGGCTGCAGGGGAAGTAGTTGGTGGGGTGGGGTGGGGGGGTTGAGGTTGCATCGAGGAGACACAGGGGATGCAGAGGTGCTGAGGAAGAGGAAGCATCTGCAGCTGAGCCCCAACCCAGGTTTAAGGCAGAGCAAGAACATCAGCAGCAGCTGCCTGGCTTCTTCCCTTTTGATTCCAAGACAATGGGCATTCTCCTCCACTATGTTAAATGGAGGGACAAACCTCATGTAGGAATCAAATAACTACAGTAGCTAGATTGTGGTAATTTAATCCTAACATTTAGAGAGAGAGAAAAAAACATTTTTAGGGTCAAAAAAACAATTAAGTCAGTGCTGTGTTTAAGTGAATGTATTGTGCTTTGGAACAGGTCTGTAGTGCAAGTGTCAGTACTTCAATAACTCCCACTGTAGTCAATGTGATTTGTCCATTCCTAATGATTGCAGCCTGGGGTAGCCACTGTAACAGCACAAGTTGTGAATACTGAAGTTGACCAAAACCCAAAGAACCATTGAAGATTCAGTATTTTATAATTAGAAAACACATAGATAATGATAAAGAATATCAGATGTTGGCAGCTTATCCTTATTATTATTTCTACTTT